TCTTTACCTTCCTTGCATTACCATATAGTTCATCAAAGGGATGTCAAAACTAAATTCCTAAATGGAGATCTCGATGAGGAGATTTACATGGAGAAATCATAAGGTTATATGCTTTCTGGTAATAAACAAATAATGTGCAAGCTTGTAAGTCCTTGCATAGATTAAAATGCACTGAAACAATGACATCAAAAGTTTGACTTTGTGATTGTAAGATTCATCGATTAAGGGAGAGACACACAACTTAGGGGGAGAATTTTTAATCATTATAAAAACACGAATTCAAAGAGTTTGTCATCATCAAAAATAGAGAGATTGTGAAAAATGCATCTTATTAGTTTTGATGAAGACAATGATCATCAAAGAAAAGAATCAAAAGGTTCATGCACATTAATGTTGAAGTTGATCAAGAAGGCTTAGCATATAAATTCAAGTGAAGATTTCAGAGAAATGAACATAACTAAGGTATGCATTGCAATTTATATTTATACTATTTTAAATTGCTCATAATTTCATCTTTCACTTCATCTAAAAACCTTCTTGCATTATCATACGTGATCATATAAAAACCTTCTTCATCTAATTCTTGTGGCAAGTGTTTTTGCACAAGTTGTGTGAGAATATTGTGATATATCTTTGTCTCTGTATGTATTATGTGTTGATCTTTAGAAATGAGATGAGTGGAATTTTAAAAACAAAGAGGTTTCTAGATTCCGTATTCAAGATGCAAAAATCTTGAAATAGTGGACACCTTTTTTCGATCAAATTAAAGCAAAAGAGTGGGGGTTAAAAATATAATCAAACACACTATATTGAGAAAACATCCACATTCAATATGAAAGATCTTAGACTAGTTGACACTCTTTTGGGGATCAAAGTAATGTGAAATAGTGGGAGTTATGAACTTAGTCAAACACACTTTGTTAAGAAAGTTCTTGATAAGTTCAAACTGTCACATTTCAAGAAAGTGAATATTCAATTTGATCTTAGTGTCAAAATAATGATGGAAGAGTTGTGGCTATATTAGAATACGCAAGTGTAATTGGTTCTCTAATGTAGTATACTAGACCTGACATAACATTTCGACTTAGTAAATGAGTAGATTTGCTAGCAATTCAAATAGTGAGCATTGGAAGGCCATTATGATAATTTTGGTTGTCCTTGGAAAACAAAAAAAAAATAGCCTTCATTATGGTAGGTTTCCTTCCATACTAAAAGGATATACCGATGCAAGATGGATATCGAGTGTCGTAGATAATAAATCTGCAAATGGGTGGATATTTACACTAGCTGGGTGCAATTTCTTGGAAAAGGAAGAAACAAACATGTATTAATCTTTCGACTAGGGAATCAGAGTTTGTGGCTCTCATTTCTATTGGTCAAGAAGATGAATGGTTGAGGGACTTTCAGTTGGAAGCTCCATTGGAAAAAGACAATATTTCAAAAGTGTTGATACATTGCGATAGTCAAACAAATTTAGTTAGTACATTCAGCAAAGTGTATAATGGAAAGTTTAGGCATTGAGGCCTTAGACATTCTTTCATGAGAAAATTGATTAAAGATGTAATCATCTCACTCACATATATATGATCGATCTATAATTTAGGAAATACATTTACTAAGCCACTGGCCAGAATTTAGTAAAAACAACCTCGAGAGGTATGAGGTTGAAACTCCTTGAGTAAGAGTTTCGACAGTGGCGGCAACCCAATCTTACGTTAACAGAACATTAACATCAAGATTTAATGGGTAACAACAAGTTGTTAATTTGGATAATTGTCGAATATTTCGTGATAATATTTACCTTAAAAAGAGGGTTGAGTTTTTATTTTAAACTCTTAATGAAGTTCATAACCGGAGAAAAATATCTCATAGAAAAGATTCAACATGAACGTCACCTATGTGAATTTCGAGATGGTGTCGTCTCAAAGTGAGAGTTGGAGCTTCTCTCATGAAAAACTCATGAACAGGATAGCATATGGCCATAAATAAGTACTAAGCGAGATATGTAGAGGAAGAATCTTTAAAGAGTGTATGTAAGGTAACTTTGGTCTAATCATATGGATTAATGATTTTAAAACATTGATACCTAATTTATCAATTAAACTTTATGTTGTCCTTAATAAGGTTAAGTTTTAAATCGAAAGATACCTAGCTGTATTAACACTCTTTATATCTCATTTTCTAGAATTAGACTTGTCATTATTAAAACAAGTGGGAGATTGTTGGAAATTAATGGATAGTTAATTCTCATGAGTGTGTTCAAATACGACAAAGTTAAAGAGGATAAAAGTGCCCCATAGAAAAAAGTATAAGTTGCCTTCAAATTTGTTTGAACAAAATTTTGGTCAGTTTTTGCACTAAACATCCATCAGTGGAGGTTGTCTTTAAATCTGTCTGAAGGAAATCTTGGTCAGTTTTTGCACTACACGTCTATTTGTGGAAATTGCTTTTAAATTTGTCTCGGACTACTGAAAGTTTGAATTTCGAATTCAAAATACACAACACTTCATGAAGTGGTGCATTGTGTTATTGGTGAACCATTACAAACATATGTTAAAAAAGTGTTGTTTCATCAAGAGTTGCAAATTTATGAAACAACACATCCATACCTATAAATACATAATTCTGAATTCGAAAATCACTCAATCAAATTATAAATCCTTTTCATTTTTCAGACACTCTTCCTTGCATTCGAGTTCTTCACCAGTCTTGTGCAGACTCGATTTAAAGGCTGAATTATCCTGGATATTCTTGCGTTCAAATTCTAAGATATTTTGAGAGTGATTGAAATACTTATAAAAAAATTGATTTCTTTCACGATTCTAGCCTCGATCCATTTGACTTGAATTACTTTTTTAACATAAAATTGTTGATGTTGAGAAGGAATGTGAAAATCAACCATAATATGAGAAAAATAAAATTGTTGATTGGCTTGCAAACTTTAGCATTTCTAATAATCATTTAATCTTTTAGTTATAGAATCTCCTTCAAGAGATCTTTAAAAAAAATCCTCTTTAAAGACATTTCTAGGATTTGCAAGTTTAAAAATGTCTAGGATTTGCATGTTTAAGAATGGTGGTGGCATTTTTAGAATTTGCATGTTTAAGAATAGGAGTGTTCAAAACCAAATCAGTCCAATATAAAACTATAAAATCGAACTAAATTAAATCAAAATCACAAAAAATTCACATTTGGTTAAGATGTGTTTGGATCATTTTTAATAAAATTGCGCGGTTCGATTCAATTTACGATTTGTATTTTACAAATCAAATTAAATCGTAAAATATTACAACTCAGACTTCACTTAATTCACATCTAACTCATACTCAAACCTTTTATGCCTCAGTCTTACGATTACAAATTATTTTCTCTTTCTCACACTTAAAGTTTCAGTTTAAGTCTTCTCAAATCTCTCTCAACGGTATAACGCTTTCTTCTAATCTTCTTTTCCAAATACATCTTGTCTCTTCTTCTCTATTCTTTAATCTCTTATGTTCTTTCTTTTCATCTTATTATTTTTGTTTTACTGTTCTCTCTTCCAATTACGCTTTAAATGCATCTTTTCTTCTATGATTTCTCCTCTCTTCTGCTCTTTCTTTTTCATCTTCTCTAATCTTTCATCTCCTCTGTTTTTTCTATTTCATTATAATATTTTTGATATTGTTTTATGTTACTATTTTATGTTTTTTGTTCTACTTTTTTTAATTTTATTTTTGTATATTAAATGAAAAGTAGTTGTTAAAATATGATGAATTTTGTTGTTATTTGATAATGCATGAATTATTAAATACAAAATTATATTGTCATTTATATGTGTATGTATGACTCAATAAATTTTTTTGTAAAAAATCGAACCAACCGAATCAATTCAAACTACATTGGTTTGATTTTATTTTTAAAAGTCAACTGAACCCCACACTTTTTTCTCTTGCAGTTCGGATGATTTTTTATATCAAAACCGTCCAAGCCGCACCGGAAACACCCTATTTAAGAATGTCCAAGATTTTGCATGTTTAAAAAAAAAATATTGACCTCTAGGAGAATAATGTCTTTTAAAATCTGTTATTTTAAATTATTTTTAAAAAAAAATAGAACTTTAAAGTGAAACAAATGTATTGTAATTTTAAAAATGATAAAATGTTTTTAAAAAATTAATCTCTTATTTTTTAAGAGAATTGACATTTTGATTTTATTAGTTCAACACCCTTATTTTAGGTGTTCAACACTCTACATACCGTATAGATACATATGGTTTTGTTTTTTAATTAACTTTTTCCTTTTCATAGACGATATAAATAATTTGTATATGGTGTCAAAATACAATGAAAATATTTATTTAAATATACATGAATAATAACAAAATAATAAAGTAGTTAAAATGATTTAAGAAAACTATTATAATCAATTTCTCATTTAGTACTTTTTTTAAAAATATTTCTCTTTAAAAAATTATAACAAAACTGAAATGTTTCAAATATGTTTTTTTAAAGTTGTAGTAACAGGACAGGACACAGGTCCCATTCCTGGTCCGACCGGACAGTCTGGCTTTTAAAACAATAAACCTACAAGCTAAAAATCATCAGCAATCAGTTTAATAGCAAATGATTGGACAATCAGAATAAAAAGATCCATGCCTATTTCGGGTTATTGATAAAAATAAAAGATAACACGCGGATTTTGTGCACAATATCAGACCAAATCTTGATTTTGAACTATGACTTAAAAACCATTACAAGTACAACAACTAATGTTCTATCACATGATAATATTACAAAATTGTGCAGAGTTATGCCTTGCGTTCCTCTATAAGAATCATGCAAGACAAAGGAGACTGACAAGCATGCCCGTGTTGATTTGCTTTCAATAGCACTCGTGCAGAGTGCAACCTCAACAACAAAATTAAGAAATCACCCACCTTTAGAGCTTATTTATTTGTTGCACTACTCAAGAGCAGACTGCAGCAGTACAGTGATATTAATAACTGTTTCCATAAACAAGTCTTACTTCTTACGCTGCCTGTGTTTAATTTTAATATGCTTTCGACCAGACTTATCAACACCACCAGTGCCCAATGAGAAACTCCCTCCCGCATTAAATTCTAGACTGCCAGAAGCCTGAAATGGAGATGGATTCTGTGGAGCAATATTCTGTTGACCCCCAAACTGGAAAGGGCTAGCTCCAGTAGGAGTCGGTGCTCCAAATACAAAATTTGATTGAGATTGGGCTGGTTGCTGACCAAATACAGGAGTGACAGGAGTGACGGGTTGAGTTGCTTGAACTGTGTCCTCAGCCATACTGTCTTCCATGCTCATCTGATCATTATTAACAGAAGCTGAACCAAATGCAAAGACGGGACTAGAATTTCCAAAAGCAGGCTGCGTATTGGTAGTGGCTGCAGCTGAAGTGAATGAGAATTGAGAACCTGATGCACCTGTAGATGATCCAAATACCATGGGAGAGCTGGTGGAAGCAACAGAAGGAGCGGATGTTCCAAAGGAAAACACAGAGGTAGATGAAGACGATGATGATGAACTAAAGGGGGTGCCAAATGGAGACGACTTGCTCGGCTGCCAACTAGGAACCCCAAATAAGGTAGAATTTGTGCCATTATTAGAGCTAACAGGGTTGGCTTCCAAAGAAGAAGCAGGGGTGCTTTGTCCAGCCGTCGTACCAGAGCTAAAAATATTTGTTGCAGGAGTTGAAGAAGAGAGCGATGAACTTCCAGTCAACCCAAACAACGGGGATGGTGCAGATGAACCAAATGCCACAGACTGACTCTGAGTTGAAGTTGCAAACCCACCGGTAGCACTAGGTGCCAAAGTACCAATGGTAGACCCACTTATAGTGCCAAAGACAGAACCCTGTGTCTGGGACTGGCTATTTGCAGATGTTGCCAATGAACTTAGCCCAAAAATGCCATTCCCGGCATTTCCAACAGCAGCAGAAGAGCTTCCAAAGGAAGTGCTTTCAATTTTACCGATTCCAGCATTCTGTCCGATCTTGGTTTCCACGGGTTCTGAGTGAGAAGATGAAACAGGTAAACTTGTTGATGGTAAAGGGGTGGATCCAAATTTGAAAAGGGAAGTTGTTGGAGATAAAGACGTCATCACAGAGGTAGAGGAACAGCTAGTGCTGGACGCATTAACAACCGGGGTGCTGGCTGTCATGCTAGTGGTGGAAGTAGCAGTGGCACTAATGCTGCTGCTGCTTGTGGCAAGGGATGAGGTACTGAACATATTCTGACTTGTAAGACTATTTGAAACCACAGGTAGAAATGGGGAGGACAGTGTAGAGCCTGAAGCAGCGGATCCATTATTTTGACTTGAACTGTTGCCAAAAGTAAATATATTTGCAGGTGATGTTGTCAATGACGTAGATGCTGCAGATGGTTTTAATGATGGAGCAGAGAATTCAGAAACTATACTAGCCTTGACATCAGCATTATTTGATTCAAGAAATTTTGGCACTGAATCAACACCGGCAACAGTAATTGAGCTGTAAAAGAAGGTGTGGTTAGTGCATTGAACTGTGCATCAAATTCACCAATATAATTACAATTATAACTATGATATGCATGACAAAAATCAGAGCCAAACTGTATAAAGTGAGCAGGAAATAACTACAAAATCCGAAGAGTAAGAGAGGGCATAAAAATGAAGAAAAACTACTGTAAAAGGGAAGGGAGGAATGTGCAGCAACCAATTTGTAATTAAGGATTTACTTTGACTTCAAATATTTTTTTTCAAAAAAATGAGGCCAATATTTTAAAATGACGTGAAAATACCAATAATTTATTTCGCAAAAAATTATAATTTAACATTTAAAAAATGTAAACAATAAAATCAATATACTGATTTTTATATAAATGTGAGTTAAGTTATAATAATAAACTAATTATAACTTATTGTATAAACTATATGTAACAAATATTTGTCACAATGAAAAGTTTTTGTTTGGAACCGGCACGTATGTGTCAAAATAATTATTATTGCAGCTTTATTGATTAAAAAAATTCCCTTAATCAGAAGTAAAAATGATTTGTTAGCCTTTGTCGGAAAACTATTATAAAATAAATATTATAGTTGACTGTACAAACCATTAACGGGACAAATGTTTGTCCCTAATGCATGAAATGAAAAGTTTTTATTTAGAATCTAAATGTGAAACATACAAATACTGATTGCAATATTTAGTATACAACAACAACCAAGCTTTATCCCACTATAAAAAGTCTTTGCTTAATCAAAGTACCATGATTTGCCAATGATACTAGTACATCGCTAAAATCAGAAGCAGATTGTTTTAAGTAAACATGAAGTAAGTTCAAAACAAACTTTCAACAAGACACAATAAAATCAAAGTTGAGGAAATAATGTAACACAGCATGATAAATTAGTTTAAACTCATACTCGGACTATGAAAGTAGAAGTTAATCGTGAAAGAAAATATATACTCCTAAGTTCCCAATGAGATAATTAGTCCAGAGACAAAATCTTCACTCACAAAAATGTCAATTGAACAGGCAGAACAAAACACAATTACACTGACCTGGTGGAGCTCGGCTTTGAGTCAGAAGCCCCGCCAAATTTGAAAAAAGTAGACTCACCACCAGCAGATGAAGAGAAAGTAAATGATGGTTGTGGAACACTGTCAATATTTTTGTTGAAACCAAAATTAACAGTTGTAGCATCAGCACTTGTTTCCTTTAATGGAGCCATTTTAACTTCACCAAATACTGGAGCTGTTTTAGTGGACTCTTTTGATTGAGGATCAGCACCTGTTAGCTCTGTTGAAGGAACAAGATTATTCCCGAAGTTAAACACGGGAGGATTAGCAGCTGATCCATTTGGTGAAGAGGACTTGTTGGAATCTAAAATAGTGAGTGTCGATGATTTAACTTCACCCATACTTGGCTTAACAGTAGGATCAGTAGCAATAGATGAAGTTATTGAAGTCGGTGTGTCAACCTTAGCAACTATAGAACCATCAGCAGTACTAAGTTTACTATCTGCTATAAAATTTTTGGACGACGTCACTACAGATGAACCTTGTGGTGTCTTCTGCACAGGTTTTTCAATAGCAGAGACTGTTTTCTCAGCCGCAGGAGTAGAGCCTTTTTCTTTCTCGGATGTAGAAAAAGGAGACACAGCTTCATTAGGATAGGCATCATCGTCAAACTCCAGATAATCCTTCGAGAGAAAGACGGAAAGAAAAATAACAGTCAATAATTACAGTTTAAGATAAACAAAATATCTCTGTTGAAAACTCAACTCACTTTATACTATCAGTAGTAACCAAAATCAAAGGTGAAAATATGGTCAACTTTATACTAGGCAACTGCTCCAATCATCATTATGAGATAACAAAATGGAAAGAAGTAAAAAAAAAATCAATAGGGCTCAGAAGTTACAATTTAAGTTCCAAGAAAAACAATGGCAAATTTTGTATGGTTTTTCTTAGTTGGAAGAAACATGAACTATTGGAAACACATTTTCATTAAAAACAAGAATGCAAACTATATGCATGTAGTCATAAAGACTCAGAACATAATAAACACTTAAAGATAACTACAGCAAACCATCAACTTGATAACAATTAAGCAAAATCTACCTCATGTGCACTCATACGGAATGCCCACTTTTTTGAGGGAGGATCAGAAGAATCTCCAGACTTTCCAATAGATATGACTTGGTTTCTTGGGACAGTAGAGTCTGAACCAGTTACTTCAGGAGTTAATCCACCATTCAGTGAAACAGGCTTCTGACCATTTTCCACCTTGTTTATCTTTGATGTCAACTTTTGAGTACTAGCAGACAAACTTTTAAGAGTGCCGTCTAATTCATTATCCTTTACATTATCCAATAATTTTGAGGAATCTACTGCTTCCATGCTTCGAAGAGCTTGTCCTCGTAACATAGAAGATGACAACTTTGTTGGAGATTTATCATTCACGTTTGGCAGCCTTAGTACCGATGATTTTTCTTTGGGAGAAACCATATTATCAAGTTGCTGCAGTATTTTTGAGGCCATCTCACTAGATTTGGATGGTAAAGGAGGAAAGCTGCTGCTAGGCATGGTGTCACCTACATTTTCCCGTGGTGATTTGCTATGGATGTAATTAACTTGATCCGACTGAGTAGGCTTCTGCATGAAAGATGAAGGTTGCTGAGCAGTGTCACTACCAGCCCCACTACTAGTAATAGATAGAGGGTTGTTTGAGTGAGTCAAGGTCAATCCTTTAGAAGATAGAAGATTAGACTTGTGACGGATTCGGCGTATACGGCCAAAAGATCCTATATCATTACCTAATACAGAACTTCTACGTTTCAGTCCCTGCAAGAGGGAATCTGTCACATATCCCTTAAAGAAACTCTTAAATATTAAAAGGAGAGATTAAATAATCAACAGTAATCATACCCCTTGTTTGGTTCCAGAGAGTATACCATTACTAAATGCATGCTGAGTTGAAGATGACGGCCCATCTTCAACACCAACCCCAGCACCCTGTAAAGTTAGAGAAATAAGATATTAGTTTCAACTTTAGAAACATCGTGATCCAAAATATTCAGTAAATGCCAAACCTTAAGTGTGGAGGCTGGGTATACTTTAGGATAAGGTGTTTGAGCCATGGTGTAGATTGCTGATCTTCCACGAGATCTTGGGGTCAAAAACCCATTTTCATAAACCCTGGCATGGTTAGTAGCCCTTGGCACAATTGACATAATAGGGGATTTTGGAGCATAGTGGCCTTTTAGTAGAGTTGAATCTTCCCTGGTAGGACTTCGCAAGGTTAACACTGATGGGGCTACCTTGGAAGGCCTACTCTCCATATAAGCCTTCGCTAGCTGTGCAGGTGAAGCAACATCTTCGACAGAAATCTATACACAGCATATGGTTGTACATGTCAAATAGATCATGATAGGGTATTAATTTCACATCCATAACAAATAATCATACAAAGATAGGTATCAAGAAAATTGTCATACACTGGAAGTGGTGTGTGGGGTTGAAACAAGTTGGTTTTCAATTCTATTTTCTAGTGCAGGAGTTTGGGGATACTCTTCCTTTTGGTTACGATGCAATGATTCTAATGGAACCACTTCTCTCTTCTTCCCTTCTTCCCCAACAGATGTATCTACAGACCTTGAGCGCATAAGCTCTATCAAATGATCAGTCTCTGATCTGTTGAAAAGTAAACACTTATCATGTCTAAAATCAACAAGAAGCTATCACAAAAGAGACGTGAAAAATAGAAGAAACAGATTGCAAATTTAACAATAAGCTTCAATAAACTAGACAGGAAGTGTGAATTACATATCCATTAAGCATAACCCACCAAGTGGACTCAACTACATGGATCAAACAATGGCATTGGATTGTATCAAAAAGAAGGATTGCACTATTGTTCACCAATGAATGTCATTGAGATTCAAAAATGTTTTGTCAATTATCAGCAGCAACCAACCCAAATAGAAACCTCCTCGTTTACAAAGAAACTAAAATTATTTCATTGACACAAGATGTGGTACAAACCAGCTAAATGTCATTTAATTAAGAATAATCAAGTAAATGCACATCACTATAAGAAATAAAAAGGAAGATCACATGATTATCTGCTTAAACCACGGATAAAGCCTTTAATTCACTCTATGACATCACAGCATGCAACAAAGGACTTCCATGGGGTGATATAAATCCTAATCATAATATAGTATAGGAAAATTGGGATCAAGTAAAATAATCTTAATTATTCATGTATGATTGGACAATCAAGATTGGCTCTTCTCACTTCTAATCAAATATGTCCAATGTGTATGCATTTGGGTTTGTCTTCAACTTTATAGAAGAAATAACAAATCCAAGAAATCAATGGAAAAAAGATTATTCAAAATCAGTTAGCAAAAAAATATACATTTTATCAGGCAACCCAACACCAAAATCAGCTATGCCACACGCACATCAGACCAAACATACCTAGTGAAAGTCTTCTGATTCAACAGTTTCTCAAGTTCAGGTAGACAAACTCGATCGGATAGGTTGGTTTGATCACTACTTTCACCAACTACTCCTTGTTGCTTGCCAGACGACTCACTTGCAACCTGTTCCTCCTCGTAAAACAAACAATAACAGAAACCATCAATGATGCAACCAACAAACTTGAAGAATCGTCGATTAGATAAATAATTAAAATACGACAAGAATCATGCAGTGACAAATGTGAGCATGCATGGCTCTGTATATCGAAGGAAAAATCTTCGGATCCAGCCCAAGTTCTCATTGATCAAGTTCGAGAGTTTGCTTGAAGGATACCCATTATCTCTAGTACAAGAGTCCAAGCCATTGCCTAGAGAGGAAGGGTATATCGAAGGAAAAATCTTCGGATCCAGCCCAAGTTCTCATTGATCAAGTTCGAGAGTTTGCTTGAAGGATACCCATTATCTCTAGTACAAGAGTCCAAGCCATTGCCTAGAGAGGAAGGGTACATTTGCTATCGATCTCTTTTAACAAGATCTGAAAATACCTCCTTTCCACATGCTTAGAGCATCCATGCTCATATCAATAATAATAGTAACCAGTCCACAACCAATGATGAATAACGCTCTCGAACACATTGTCATCAATAACAGAGGGTGGATCTTTACAGCCAGCCAATTATCTGCCATATAAACATGGCTCATTGATAAAATTCCCTTTTAATTATATTGTGTTTGGTGAATAGAGACAAAGTGAAAAGGGAAGTTTTATTACTAGCTATTAGCCAACTATCATGCATTCCAATATTCAAAAAAAATTAGGGCTTTTGTAATTTTAAAGCACCACAAGACCAAAATCTGATTAGTTTTGAGGAGTTTATTTCAAAAACCAAAATATTGCACTTCATCGTGCACAATTTATATATTATATACCTCACAAATGCTAGTAAGTATTAAAACTTCATGCTTACAGTGTTATCGACGGCTGATGGCAGACCTTGGCGAAAAGCCAAATATATGACAGAAAATGTCATCCTTCACAAATTGGCTATGGCGGTTGTAAGAAAATATGCCCCCGAATTCCACTAGGGCACTGCCACAGCCAATATTAGACAACACTGCTTGCTTATATTTTCATGTGCCAAGCATTAAGCAAAAACTTATTTGCAGATTATCAGTGCCAATTTAGTTATTCCAATTCCAAACATAAACACTTATTAAGTACTTCACCTCTTCCTCCCCAGATGACTAACAATAAAATGAAATACTCGACCAAATGTGCTACAACATATTTCAAAACACTACAATACAACTGACAAACAAAACTAAATTGTTCCATGAAAACTTGATTCTTTACAAAAACATGTTGTAATTAAGTATGTATCATCACAGTTTTAAGTCTTTTTCAGGAAAAAAAAAATCTAACAAACCCTCTTACTCTATAAATAATGTAATGTCCACTAATCTTAAGCATGGGTTTCTACTCGATGTAGAAGTATATGCAATCACCACCAGTTGAACATGCCACAAGAACCCATACGGTATTGACAAATTATTAGAGTCATTAACAAACAAAAGATAAAATCACATCTGAGAGAACAAGTTGAAAAACAAAAGGACTAAAAAGATGCATAAATTTTAAACGAATTTCATTAAACTGTGACTATACAAAGGTGTGACCAAAATATTATTAGTACATGTACATTTTTATGAAAACACACAATAATACACAATTTAATTTAAAATGAAATATAAGCCAAGCACATCTGTGGAATGACTCCTAAAGAAAAGTAAACAGTTAATATAAATCAGAAGCAAGCATACTTACAAAGGTAACTGCTTTCTGGCGTTTGTCACTTGCTTCTTGTACTGTTTCTGTGCCAAAAAAATCACAAAGGATAAACATAGAATCAAGTTATTACTTCAATATTGAGAAATATCACAAACAAAGCAAATAGGAAAAAAAACTGAAAAATCACAGAGAAGTTACAACTAACAAGTTACTAAGCATATATATACCCATTATAATTGTGAAAATTTTATAAAATATATAAGGATCAAGCCATTGTCCCCATTTTCACCAACACTGATTCAAGTGTACAAAGTAAACTATTTTTATCATGTTCTCTGCATCTAAACCATTCAGATCGTGTTAAGCATATTTTTATCATGTTATCGTGTTCTCTACAAGGTGAATCCAACTGAAGTGTGTTCAATGATGCAATCCAGTTTGATAACTGCACAAGCACTTCTCTCCCCTTTCTCATAGACACGAGACAAACTCGTATCTCGTGCTCAATCCTAACATTCGAATAAAAAAGATAATCCTCATCATTAATTTTAACCTAACCAACACATCAAGCTCATCTTTACAATGCAATTACATTTACAGTGTCCTCAGGGAAAATATGCAGAAATATAATGCAATGAATTTTGATTTACGAGTCAGTAAGTACCACAACACAAAATCTCATATACCGTTCAGATTCAGAAACTGACATTCAACAATTCATGAACTAAAAATCAATTAGTTAACAAACGCATAACAATAACCTAAAATTCAATTGGATAAATTAATGATTTATATATATATTTTTAAAATACAAAAAGGAGCAAAGAGAAACCTGAAGGAGGTGGTGGAGGAAGACGTTTGCGGAAAACGGCGGAGAAAAGCTTGTGAGCGCTGTAAGTGATGAGCCTCTGGGCGGGATCAATGAACTTGGAGAGCCAGCCGTTGTTTAGGTTAGGGTTTCTGAGGGCTGTCGGCGGCCGATCGTACGGCGTTGGTTGGGTTTTCCGGAAAGGTCTTTTTCGGAATTTGCCAAAGCCTCCTCCGCCTTCGTAAGGGTTCTCACGCGCTGTCGTCATCAAGGTGAGAGAGAGAGAGAGAGAGAGAGAGAGAGTGAGAGAGGGAGAGGAGTTAACGAAGTTGAAATTCAAGGTTGGGAGCGTGCAAAAGTGAGGGTTTAATCAGCGATGTTGAGAGAGGGAGAGAGTAATAATGTAAGTGAGATCTTTGTTATATTGTTTTTTATTTTGATTTTTATTAAGAGATTATTAAAAACAAATAATTAAAACATGCTACAAATGAAATCTTTGTTAAATGAGAGGAATTTTTACAAATAAGTGAGGTGTATTGATTTGGGTTTTATTTAGTAAGATCCTTTTTGAGTTTATAGTTTATACTAGCTAATAAATTTATATGATAATTTAGGTATTGTTTGATAAAAGTTTTTTCATTACCAGATTATAATTTATTTTGTCAGATTATAATTTATTTTTTAAATGTTATTTTAAATAGCATTTTATTTTATAATTTATAGTTTATTATTTTTTCTTTCTTTTTTATCTTTATTATTTTAAGAAAAAACACTTTTATTTTTTATAATTTATTTTAATTTAAAATGAAATAATTATGTATTAAATAGTTTTATTGTCATATTACATTCATAAGTTAGTTAGACATTTGGATCGGAAGGTGAAGCAGGCAAGAAATATCGACCAATAGTCATTTCATCAAATGGCATGTGAAATGACGATATCTCTTGATGTCATCTTTTTGTAAATGTTGGTACTAAATTTTGGTTTATCATCGATGGACTAGTTCTCTTGAGTGAAGATAGACCACATTCACTTAACCATATTTGCATCTCAGGTGAGAGACAATGTGGAATTCATCTTATAAGTTTGCTCCCGTGTCCAATAACCTTGAGTTCTTTCTTTAAGCTTCTCTCCTAAAAATAATTTAAAATATATATTATAAAATAAATTACAATTACAATTTATTCAAAATAAAGTGACTGTCATTTACTTAACTTGCTGGCAACATGATGTTCATATTTTACCAACAGAAATGTATCACACGACCCTCCTGAAAACACTAACGCTTTTGGAGCAGATGCACCTACACGCGCATCCTCGTCTTCCATCGTCGCTCGAGCACCCCACCCTACACCTGGACGTATTGGGATCTGGTCATCACGTCCTTGGGTTCGCGTCACTAGGAAAAAAACAAAAAATACTTTAATAAAATTTTCAAAAAAATATTCAAAATGGATGTATATAGTCATAATTTTGGGTGCCTCAAATACCTTAGAGGTAAGTAATCTGGTAGTTAACTTTTCTTCACCAGATAACTTATGTCAAAGTTATTCGAAAGAAAATTTCAAAACAAAATATCAAAAAAATTACTTTGAAGATATTTTGTGCTATAATTTTTGAACCAAATAATTTTCGGGTAAGATTTTCCGTGGTTATTCTGATCAGATAACTAGAAATGAAGATTTACAATTTTATAAATGTGCAATGAAAAACTTGGGATGAAGACTTCTAATACGTAATAAATTTTTTCCTCTTTCAATGGCTCTGAAAACTTCAAGAAAAATGCAAGAATAAATTTAAAATTTGAAACGAATAAAGTATTTATACAAGGGCATTTCGATCAAAAATGGTATATTATAGGGATAGAAGGATAAATGTTGAGGTATGAGATAATTTTTCCAATTATTATTAAGAAATAATGTGTCTGAATTATTAGAACATTACATGTAGGCAGAACATTTATCTCTTTATATATCTTAAATCATTGATCAACTGATTGAACAAACTTGGAATGACACTAATGTACGTAAAAGTATAGATTTGTGATTTATGAGAAACTACATGACAAAAATGAGTGAAAAAACATTCCTCATTGGTTTCAAGATGTAAGTTTCATTGCCTTGTCCTTCAAGGTTCAAAAGTTGCATCTAGTCGAAACACATAAAATATCTCCCTCCAGCCGACCATACGTGTAATGTTAGGGGTGGCAATTGGATCCATTAAGACAAAATACATTCAACCCATGCACCAAAAAATTTATTCAATTCATTCACCACATAAAAAGTAACTTAATGGATTGAACAAAATTCATCCATTTAGATACATGGATCGATCAAATCCATCCAACATATTTTAATGATCCATTAGATTATTGTTATTATATACTTTAAATCCATTAAATCATTTTTTTTAAATGCGGAAAATCGAGTTATTATGGAAATACAAAAAATCGAGTATTTTCGAAATTTTAAAAAATTGAATATTTTCGGAAATATAGAAAAATGGAGTTTTTTTGGAAATATGAAAAATTGAGTTTTTTTAAATATAGAAAATTGTGTTTTTTCATAAATACAGAAAATTGAGTTTTTTTTAGAAATACAGAAAATTAAGTTTTTTTTAGAAATACGGAAAATTGAGTTTTTTACAGAAATACAGAAAATCGAGTTTTTTGTGAAAATACAAAAAATCAAGTTTTTTTTGGAAATACAGACATCAAGTTTTTTGTGAAAATACAGAAAATCAAGTTTTTTTGTGGAAATATAGAATATCGAGTTTTTTGAAAAAATTAGATAATTCAGATTTTTATGGAAATACAGAAAATCTAGTTTTTACGAAAATACATAAAATTGAGTTTTTTTTTTGGGAAATTCATAAAATTAAGATTAATACGGAAATACATAAAATCTAGTTTTTTTATGAAAATACAGAAAATTGAGTTTTTTGTGGAAATACAGAAAATCTAGTTTTTTTACAGATATATGGAAAAAATCAAGATTTTTGCAGAAACACAGAAAATCAAGTTTATTATGGAAATACAAAAAATCGAATTTTTGTTACAGAAATATAGACAATCGAATTTTTTGTTTGGAAAATTGAGTTTTCATGAAAATACAGAAAATCAAATTTTTAATGAAAATATAGAAAAATCGAGTTTTTTCTTGAAATATAGAAAATTGATTTTTTTTACAATACTGAAGATTGAATTATTTTTGGAAATACAGAAAATTGAATTTTTTGTAGAAATACAAAAAATCGAGTTTTTTTGCGAAAATATAGTAAATGAATTTTTTTACGGAAATACAAAAAAAAAGAGTTTTTTGCGGAAAAAAGAAAATCGAGTTTTTTGCTAAAATACAGAAAATTGATTTTTTTTGTGTAAATATAGAAAATCAAGTTTTTTACGAAAATACAGAAAATCTAGTTTTTATGGAAATACAGAAAATATACTTTTTTTCAGAAAAGGAGATAATCGAGTTTTTTTGCTGAAATACAGAAAATCGAGTTTTTTGCGGAAATACAGAAAATCGAGTTTTTTTGCTGAAATACAGAAAATCATGTTTTTTTACAGAAATACAGAAAATCTAGTTTTTTTTTAAAGAAATATAGAAAATTGAATTTTTTTCGAAAATATTAAAAATCGAGTTTTTTCGAAAATATAGAAAAATCAAGTTTTTTGGAAATAAAAAAATAAATGGAAATATTTAAATTAATTTTTTGGATGAATGGATATCCATCCATTAAAATGATGTTAATGGATGGATTTGATGGATTGTATTTTTAATAGAAGGATTGGATTGGATATTTTTACGAAAGTTTTAATGGATTGTTAATGGACTAATGGATTATTTTGATCCATCCATTAACAATCCAATTCATATTCATCCAATCTATCTATTTTGCCACCTCTATATAATGCATGCCTAGTGCTAAATTTAAAGACTCAGAACTATTGTCAATGCTACCTCTTTTCCCTCAGAGGTCAACAAGAACCTTGTATGTCGCAATTGTTGTCATGCTTGTAAACATATGGAAATTAAAATGGTAATGCATCAAATGGCCGAAAACAATCTTTTTGTAAAAGTCAAAATTAGTAGCACTAATAAAGAATCTATTTGGTATCAAGACTTGTATATCGCCCAACTTGGGGTTTTGAAGTGCTACATCAACACTTGTGACAATGATAACTCATTTGAATTATGGAACAAGCGTTTGGGTCATATGAGTGAAAAAAGGTTTAGTATTTTGCCTAAGAAGAATGTGTTTTATGGTGTTTTCGATGCAAAGTTGAGAAAGGGTTTGCATTGTTTGGTGGGTTAGAAAAGGCAAGTTTCCTTTATGTCATCCAAACCAAAGAGGAAATTAGAAGTGTTGGATTTAGTTTATTCTGATGTGTTTGGTCCAATGAAGTCACAATCACTTGGTGGTGCATATTACTTTGTAAATTTCATTGATGATTATTCTCAGAAAACAGGGGCTTATACCTTGAAGACGAAAGATCAAATGTTAGATACTGTGATACGGTGGCAGAATCGACTATTTTGGAAATGTTGGTTTACATTTTGCGTTTTGTATTCGCAAAATGTTGCGGTAAGCAAGAGTCGCCACCGACTTTTATTTTATCCAACTGGAAAGGAAAAAAAGCACAGAAAAAATCCTTTTTCGAAATTTTGAGTACGGGGGGGTAGATTATAGAAAGGGAAGGTATTAGCATCCTTTTTATCCACGGTTTTCCATGGGCTCTTAGGTACTTGCTCATCTTTTAAAAATTGCTTGTGTGTGTTTGTTTTGAAAAGTTTTGTTTTACTTCGTTTTAACCCTTGTTTCTGTCCTCAAGAGTGTTACGAAGTGTTTTTGAAAATTTTGTTTGAAAAAAAGTGTAAGTGTGAAAAAAGTTTGTTTTGAGCAAGTACCTACTAGCATCTACCTACTCGAAAAAAGATCGTTTATGTTCTTGTTTCCTTTAGACAGTGTTATCCCACTATTAAGAAATAGGTAGCACCGTCGTTGGATGTAAGGGTCAATTCGAAAGGGACGTATGATCACTAAAGCAATGTTAGGACGTCTTAGTAATAATCCTAGAGTCATAAGATCATATTTGAGGCAACATTTCCGAGGCAACCTTTCCGAACGGGACTTTTGATCTTTGTTAGACAAGAGGGCAACCACTAAGACACCCTATACTTAATGACCGTTTACTGAAGGCAACTGAAGTGAGAGTATACCCTAAGAGTGCGCATGTGCGAGTGATTTGAGTTCAGTTATTATCT